TTTCACATTCCCAGTCTCTGAACCTTAGAGAGTTGGGGCAAAGTTTTCCTCACCGGAATCAATATAAAGTGTGTGGCCTTCCACTTTCTTCCCATTAGCCAAAGTAGGGAGTTTTTTCCACATCCAAGTGCCTATGGCAGGGGTGGAGAAAGACGGAGGAAGATGGAACGGTAAGAATGCCGAAAAAATTTTCTCTTCTCCTTCAGTAGGTGATAAGGTTTGGCTGTGTCCCCACCTAAACCTCATCTTGAATTGTAGCTCCCATAACTCTCATATGTGGTGGGAGGGACCTGGTGGGAGGCAAATGAATCATGGGGGTGGTTTCCACCATATTGTTCTCATGATAGTAAGTTTCAAGAGATCTGATGGTGTTACAAGCAGAAACCCCTTTCCCCTGATTCTCATTCTCTTCTCTTGTCTGCCACCATGCAAGACATGCCTCTCACCTTCCGCCATGATTGTGAGGCCTCCCCAGCCACGTGGAACTGTGAATCCATTTAACACTTTGTTACTTATAAATTACCCAGTCATGGGTATGTCTTTCTCAGCAGCATGAAAATGGACTAATATGGTGGTTGAAAGTTGAGAAAAATCAAAATGGATTTTGAGTCAAAAAGAAAAACAGACTGAAGAAGCCAACACTGGTGCAACCATCAGTTCGTAACTATTTGCTCAGCCCAAGCAGGAGGATGTCATGATGGTCTAAGTTCCAACATTTACCCTCAAAATCACCCTATGAGACCTTTTAACAAAATCTTATCAGGCAGTAATAGGGGTGTGGGAGCGGAGGACGAGGTTCTGGTTCTTCGAGCCAAACTCACACCCTCGAATGCTGAAGGAAGAATTAAAAGAGAAAGGAGGCAGTGACTCTGAGAACACTGCAGAAACAGGGAAGCTTTGCAGGCTGTGCAAAAACCTCTCTTCTCATCAGCAATAGTGAGTTACGGTTCTCAGTTCCTTCAGAACAAAGCTTTCACTTCATTGATCTCATTCTTAGTCATTAGACACCAGAGTCGGGAGAATGTGTCACAGGTTTTCAGTCTAAGGACACCAAACTCCTCAGAAGTTTCTTTCTTCCTTCTTGCCTTTGAGTAACGGGAACTCTGCAATACATGGGAAGTGTATGTTTATTCCAGGAGACTGCTGCTCCTCCTGAACGTCCTAAGCTGGATTGTTTGAATCAGGTATGCCACACCATGAACCGATGAATTCAGGTATACACACATACATACAGAAATGCAGTCTTCTCTTCAAATAAACTGGTTCATCCCCCGGCTTAATGCAAAGTTCACCTCATACGTTTTTAGGACAGCAAACGACACACACTTAGGCAAGGTAAACAAAAATTAAGAAATTACCAAACGAAACCTTTTATGGCAAAGTTTCTCAGTTTGGGAACCCTTTTCTTACATAAATCACTTTATAGCCATATATTACGAGTGACAGTTCATAAGACACAGGATTGCATAAAAGGATAAAAATTAATGTCAAATAAGTAAAAAAACATACAAAAATAACAAAAGCCTACAAAAAAAAAAAAAAAAAAAAAAAAAAGCAACCACAACATTTCTACAGAGCTGAGCATGACCCACCTAACAGTGAAGATTTGACTTTATCTCCTGGCCTCTGATAAGTGACAGTGAGCTCTAACTCACATGAAATCACACCAGGATATTTTCTCTTTAAATATTCTGAATAACCATAGCAAAGGACTGGAGAAACTTTTAAGCTCCGCCTGGCTTTTATAAAGGTGATCACAAAAGCCATTCAAAGAAGAGTTACGACAGTCTTTTTATTTTCCCTCAAGAAGATTCTGTAACATGTTGAAAAACACATTTAAATGTCTCTAGATGCAGGGAGGTAGAGGGCATTTTTTTCTTATCCCCCCCCCAAGATATAGCCTAAATTCCTCCACTCTTGTAATTCAAAATAATGTAGGTAAATTGAGCATACTTAAATTCATTGGCAAGAAGGACATTTTCTCTTCCAGAACAGAAATGAACTACATGAGAAGCCATTTTTTTTTTCCTTGGCACAAAAGCTAGCAAATTTTTGCTTTGCAATACATGTTGAGGGTAATAATGATAGACTCCTCACAAGTTCAAATATTGCAATAATTCCTTTCATTCTATAAAAGGTACGGCTGTTGGATAAATAAGGGAAAAATCACCAAGAGACAATTGTAGGTAATAGTGTAATTTTTCATTATATTTACAAGTCAAAACCTTTACAAAGGCACCTTCATCCTCTCAAGCAAATGGGTCTTTACTCTTAGGAAGTGGAAAAAACAACCAGAAATCCTAGATGCCAAATGAGAGCAATCACTGACCTACGGATAATCTCACATCCTCTCTTCCTGAAAAAACTCTTTATGATTGTATAAAACAGCTCCCATAAGCAACCAAGAGGACTGTCATACATATATGTATGTATGACATATATATGTATATATATGTCATCATATATATGACATATACACATATATATACACATACACACACATATATAACACATACATACACACACATCTATCTACATATATATAATGTATTTTATTTGTTGTAAAGACAGGGTCTTGCTATGTGTCCAGGCTGGTCTCGAACTCCTGGGCTCAAGTGATCTGCCTGCCTCGGCTTCCCAAAGTACACGGATTACAGGCATGAGCCCTTTGCCTGGCCTGGACCAAATGTCTTGAATGCAGGTCTCTCTTCTTGTATGTTAATTTATTCGTGACAGAAAACATGTCTGCCTTTCAGCCAATTGGGAAGATACCAGCTCTCTCTCCTTCCATTTGCACCAAAGAAAATAGCAAAGTTGTCAAGATCTAAAAAGTTGTCATTTTACATCAGAAGGAAAGAGGTGACTCAACACACAGTATCAGAGCAGGAGAGCTCCCACTGACTGTAAAGCTGTCATCATTAGCAGCTGCTTTGAGACGCTGCTATGATCTAGTACAGTTGAAACCCCATTCAGACAGACATTTTCTCATTATAAGTTGCTGTGTAAGATGTTGCTGTGGAACTTTCTGTCACGTTTGATATAATAGGTAATATGCTGCTTTTACAATTCAGCAGAGCCAGGTTTCACCATGTCTGTTTTGATTGTATCAGGCTGGATTTAATAAAAAGCTCTGATCGACCTGGTAACATGAAAACGAGTGCAAACACATGCAAAATGAACGCCCTCTCTCTGTGGATCTGGAGCGAGTTTCTGGCTTATTTAGAGGCAGGGGAGATTTTAATGGGATCTAAGATTTTTGTACTTTTATTATACCTATGTCCATTAGGTATACATGGACTGTACTGAACTCTGCAGAAATGTTTTCAAATACGAAGGATTTCTTGCTCATGTTTTTTGCCCCCAATACTACTACAACCTTATAAGAAAATGTTCCACTACCCCCAACGATCTCTTTAAATAAAGTAGAAAAATATGAAATATTAGAAAAAATTGTTTGTTTTTCTCTGAGCTATAGGTGAAGCTCACTTAAATATTTCTTGAGAAAGAAGGAAATGAAATATAGCAGCATCTTTCATCGGCCTGCCATTTTCTGCAAATAAACCCTCTTCTTATCTACATATACTTTCTTATGCTTTTGTGATCTGACAGAGTATGATTAGTCCATAAATGACTTTTACTGAATCTAAAACCCCCAGCGTTGTTAAAAAATGACACCAGGAATGCTAAGTGGATGGCTGGCAATGAATGTTGAGTGCCAGCGCAATCTCTAAACATCTTCGGTCACCACTAGCATGAGTTAACTACAGAGGAAAATATTACTGGTCATACAAATTACTCAATATTTCTCAATTTTCACTATGAATAGGGCAGGTGCCTTCTCTAAAGGAGGCTTGGAGATCCTCTAGCCAGTAAAAAGTGGTTTACTCTTTTTAAAAACCGTCATTTCTCACATGTTACATCTAAATGATTATTAAGAAGCCAACTATTAAAACGTACTCTATTTGAAACCCATAGATGAACATTAAAATTCCTGTCAAGGCCGGGCGCGGTGGCTCAAGCCTGTAATCCCAGCACTTTGGGAGGCCGAGGCGGGTGGATCATGAGGTCAAGAGATCGAGACCATCCTGGTCAACACGGTGAAACCCCGTCTCTACTAAAAAATACAAAAAATTAGCTGGGCATGGTGGCACGTGCCTATAATCCCAGCTACTCAGGAGGCTGAGGCAGGAGAATTGCTTGAACCCAGGAGGTGGAGGTTGCGGTGAGCCGAGATCGCGCCATTGCACTCCAGCCTGGGTAACAAGAGCGAAACTCTGTCCCAAAAAAAAAAAAAAAAAAAAAAAAAAAAAAAGTCCTGTCAAGCACTCTAAACAATTATTCAACATAAAATTATCTTACAAACGGACCTTTTTCTATGTACCTAAACCACCAAGTTCAAGCACATTGATACAGTTCCTGCTCTCAATTTCAGAGGTCAAGAAACTTAAAGCAAAGCAAAAATGTCACCTTTCCAATTAGCCTATTTCCAAATAAAAGAAAGCTACCTGACTCTATGCCAACCCTGATTTCACTGCCATTTACTTAACCCAGACCAAACATGCCTTGGTTCCTTTTATCTTTTAGAACAGTCAACTGCCAGAAAAGAGAGCATTTGCATTTAGCATAGTCTTTATAACATCAAAAATGAAGAGCTGTTTATGAACATGGTGTAATAATGATAAGGGATATCCTCTTTATAATTTTCCCCCTTTTGCTCAAATAATCTAGCGGTCCTGAAACGTACCAAGTTTTTATGCTGAATGTTTAACATAATAAAGTATTAGGCACATCTCTATTTCACCTTAGGAATCCTAAGGCTTAAGGCAACACTGGACAGCAAAAACACCAAGAAATCTACATGTCGTCCATAGAAATGTAGAATGAACATCCTTCGGTTTGTTCCGTTTCTCAGGGCTGTGTCACAAAGAGAAGTGACAAGTTTCAGAGTAGTGGGCGAAGTATTACAAAAACCCTTGCTTTCCAGAACTGAAAACACTTACTTGGCTTTCAACGTTTCCTCCTGAAAATTCCAGTGGGGATCTTCTACCAGCTGTAATTCTCTTAATACCCTTCCAGGCTTGTAGGCTGCGTTGATTATCATGCTAAGAACCTTTTTGGGGGAAAAAACAGGCAGAATGAGCTGCAGTTGCATTCATTCCTACCAACACGAGGACACTTTGAAAACCACACCAGTGACAATTAGGAAGAGCTCGCCATTATCCCCACATTAAATGAAGAACTGTGATTAAGTCTGATAGAACACTTCCCAGGCTCACACTGAGTTGTTTCACCATCCAGGGACAAAAAGAGTGGTAAAATCCAATCTGTCTGGCTAGAAAAGTGTGAACCCCTCTCTAGAGGGGGTAGCAGACTCCCATTAACTCTTCTAGTTGCAGAAAAGCTGAACCATTTTCACCAAAGAGCAATTTATTGTACTTCAACAGGATGACTCTTCAGTTGGATAGGCTACTGAACATTTCTTCTATTTTTAAAGATTTCGTAAGGAACCAATGAAACGGAGACAATCACTCATGAAACACTTCTGGAGAGGCTTCAGATGCTTGCAAGGAGGGTAACAAGTTGTGTGAAACTCCCCTCTTGCAGGCTCAATTCATGGACATTTAATACTAGGGCAATCTTCTGACATGTAAATATATATATTTTTTATTATACTTTAAGTTCTGGGTACCTGTGCAGATCTTGCAGGATTGTCATACATGCCATGGTGGTTTGCTGCATCTATCCCCCTGTCACCTATTAGGTATTTCTCCTAAGGTTATCCCTCCCCAACCTCCCCACCCCCTGCTATCGCCCCCCTAGGCCACAAAACCCCCAACAGACACCAGTGTGTAATGTTCCCCTCTCTGTGTCCATGTAACACCCACTTATGAGTGAGAACATGTGGTATTTGGTTTTCTGTTCTTGTGTCAGTTTGCTGAGAATGATGGTTTCTGGTTTCATCCATGTCCCTGCAAAAGACATGAACGCATCATTTTTAATGGCTGCATAGTGCTCCATGGTGTATATGTGCCACATTTTCTTTATCCAGTCTATCCTTGATGGGCATTTGGGTTGGTTCCAAGTCTTTGCCATGATAAGCAGTGCTGCAATGAACATACGTGTGCATGTGTCTTTATAATAGAAAAATTTATAATCCTTTGGGTATATGCCCAGTAATGGGATTGCTGAGTCAAATGGTATTTCTATTTCTAGATCCTTGAGGAATCACCACACTGTCTTCCATAATGGTTGCACTAATTTACACTCCCACCAACAGCGCAAAAGCATTCCTATTTCTCCACTTCCTCTCCAGCATCTGTTGTCTCCAGATTTTTTAATGATCACTATTCTAACTGGTGGAAGATGGTATCTCAATGTAGTTTTGATTTGCATGAAATGTGAATATTTTAAAAGCAAGTCTGGAACACCTAGTGCCATCCAAGGTCATATTTCCTTGATCCACACCTCACTCCCAAGTCCAAGAAAGCGAGCATGTGTATACCACAGGGTTCAGAAAGAGCAGGCATTTCTGAGAGTCCCAACTGCTGACCTGGGGGACACAATGCTCCTGTTAACCTCAATGAGCTTCTCTAATGAAAATGGCGAGGACCTCAGAGCCTGAAGCTGCTCACCTTTCAAAAAGCGAATCATCATGATGGACACTGATGAGTTCTGACACATTCCCGGGCTGCTGCTATTTGGATAGAGACCTTACAGAGAATGTGAGAGTGCAAAGCAGAGGCCTATGGTGTGGAGTTCCATGAAATGGCTCTCTGTGAAGCTCCACTGGGTGAGAGGTAGCAGGAACAAGACAGGGGAGCACACAGTGCCCATGCCTCCTGCAGGCTGTCCCAGTGCAGAAGTCGGAAGGACCGCGCCAGACATGGAGCTCACATTTCAGATTTCAGAGCAAAATACCATTGAGAAAGCAAGAAAAACAGCTGAGTGAGATGGGAGACTGGCATTAGTGCCTAAACACCTACGATTTTTTAATGGAGACTATCACAAAATAAATGGAAGGAGATGGGAGAATGTGGCTGGAATTTGGACGTCATGGTTTTCACGGGTCTGCCGTGTTCTGGAATGTGACCAGCTTGGTTTGTACCCTGATTTACTTCTGAAAACAACAATTTTTTCTCAAGTTGTAACTAAGGATTTGCTCTTAAAATACTTTACACTATGCAGTCAGCCCAGCGACTGCCTTTTCTTTGCCTGAGTAACATTTTGTTACATTTCAAGGGCCTCAAAACTAACCACCGAGAGAATGTGGCTTGCTAAGGTGCTAAAAAGCCAAGACAAGGCGGTACCAGCAGTTCTGTTGTATTTGTGTTTTCTGTATTAGAATAATCATCTGATTTTATTGTTTACTGTCAGTACAATTTACAGAAGCTCAGTTTAGAAATAAATCTAATTAGAACTGACTGCAATAACGTACACAGTGTTTATCAACAGACAATAAAATTTAAACAGATTCTTTTCATTGGGTTTTGCGGAGAAAACCCCAGAGCTACACGTTATTTGCTGCATACTGAGATGCATTTTGTGACTGTGAAGAGAAAATGCCTTCTGGAGTTCAATTCAGCCTGGGAGCAGGCAGCAATTAAATTATAAAAAGCATCTGATATTGAATGTTTTTTCCTTGGCTTTTCTCGATGCCACATCATCTGTCTCCAAATTCAACAAGCTCTCTATAAAACTTTGTAATTGTAAGCTGAATAATTTCTGTGCACATGACAATGTAATGTATTATAGTTACCTAATGAAAATAACTAAGTGGACAGCTGTTATGACTAGCCACAGTTAGACTGAATTATTGTGCTTTGCAAAACACTGGAGTTCAGTTCATTACGTTCTTGATCAGAGAGGGTAGCAGGGAACCTGTTCCCCCAAACTAACAGGACCTTAGGTGTCTCTCATCTTCCTCCACTGATATGGTTTGGCTGTGACCCCACCCAAATCTCATCTTGAATTGTAGCTCCCATAATTCCCATGTGTGGTGGTAGGGACCCTGTGGGAGGTAACTGAATCGTAGGGCCAGTTTCCCCCATACTGTTCTCGTGGTAGTGAATAAGTCTCATGAGATCTGATGGTTTTATAAGGGGTTCCCTGTTCGCTTAGCTCCCATTGTGTCTTGCCTGCCACCATGTAAGACGTGCCTTTTGCCTTCCACCATCCCCTGCCACGTGGAACTGTGGTCCATTAAACCTCTTTTCCTTTATAAATTGCCCAGTCTCAGATATGTCTTTATCAGCAGTGTAAAAATGGACTAATAAATCCACCCACCTCATTTCTCAGCTCTTTTACAGTAAAATCCTTAAGAATAGGTCTACACTCATCAATACCTCTTTCTCTTCTTCAGCCCCAATCCAATGGGGGTCTTCTGTGTCCACCATGTCCCTGAAACTACCTTATCCAGATGCCCCGTGAGGACACACGGCTGAAGGCTGGGTAGCTCTGGTTCTATTCTTACTCTGCCAGCAGGGGGTTCCCTGCCTTCCACCTCACCTTTTGAGAGCCTCACCTCCCAACAATGGCCAGGGTAATCCTTTCAACCACAGGTCAGATGAGGCCTTTCGTCTGCTCTGTTCTTCACCTAGGATGGTTCTCTTCCTGGGGAAATCCTTCCATCCCATCCCTCCCCATCCAGGTCTTTACTTCAAAGTCTGTATCAGAGAGGGCTCTGCTGAGCATCCTCTGTACACAGAACATTGCTCCCTTCATTCTCTGGCCTCTCACAGATAACTTATTATTAATATAGAAGTATTCCTTTATTGGTTGATTTGTTCACCATCCACCCCTACTATAACATAAGCAGCAGGAAATCAGGGACTTCATTCTGTTTGCTGCTGTATCTATGGTAGATAGAACTATAACTGGCAAGAAGAGGTGCTCAATAGATATTTTTTGTATTGGTTCAATAATTTCAATATGGGTTCTGAAATTAGATAAAATTATTCTGTTCATCTAAAAATTGACAACAAATTCACTTCAAGTGTTTGATACCATATAATCTATGTGAACGGAGGGTCAGGAGTTATCATTTTCTATTGCTTTTCATTGCCACAAAATCTTATCCTACGCTATGATGAGAAAGTTCATCAAATGTGTCTTGTCTTCTCTATGGGAAAATAATAAAGAAAAGCCTTACGAGCAAAAAAATTGTGCACCTTTCCTTTGCCAACCTTCCCTTTGCCAACCTTCCCTCTGCACACTGACGATGTGAGTGTGTTAAAGTTTATATCCACCCACAAGCTTGGTACATTATTCTTAGTGGGTGAACTAACCTTCAGCATAAATTTAAAACAGCAGCAACAAAAACACAACAGAGTATCTTCAAGAGGCCTGTCTGCATCTGTCTTTGATTCCGAGGACCGACTTCACTGATGTCAGCTGGGTAAGACATTCCCTCTGTCCAATATCACTTGGAAACGTCCTTGATATGAGGCCATCATTCCCATTGCCTCAACAATCCCGGGATGCTACCGACACACTTACGGCTGCTTCGAAGAAGGAAAGCTCTTCTCCCACTATGAAGTTTATGAAGGGGGAAGGCTGCCTGGGGCAGCTGACATTCAGGTTTCTCACTAGAAAGCTTTCTAGTTTGCAGGTACTAAAATTGTTGTGAGTGACATCCCAGGACAAATGCTCAGAGCTACACAATGAAAGAGACATTCAAACAGCACACCACAGACTCCCCAAATGTGAGAGCTAAACACCCCACACAAAAAGACGGAGAAAAATCGCTTAATGAATCAACCACAGGGCAGAAATCTAAACAGTAAATAACAGCTGAGACCAAATCCCAAACTGCCAGACCCCACTTGAAAGTGGGGAACCCAGTCCAATGGGGATTTTCTGTTGGTCTCAGCTGTTATTTAGACCAAATAACAAGACAGACTCAGCTTGTTATTTGAGACCAAATCCCAAACTGCCAGACCCCACCAAGACTGCAGGTGAGCAGGAGCCACTTGAGTCCTTTGGGGGTTGGAGGTCCCATGACTCTTTGCAGTCAGGCATCTCTGACTCAGGGCCAGAGGGGGGGACACCACACTCTCGTCCAGGGGTGCAGCACCTCTTCTTCGATCCTGCTGCTCCGCTCCTTCACACTCA